ATAATGCAAGACTCTTCGGTAAATTGAATCGAGTTCTCTCAGTTACTCCGTGTTTATCTAAAAATAAATACGCTTAAATTCATCTTCATCCCTGCCGTGGAAGAATCCCTGACTGACGCCAATTCATTCGGGTTACGATCTTAGCTGGAGACAACCAGACGTCTAGCCACACTGATGAGCTGTGATACATCGAAACAGTCTGTCTGTGGATAACTATATATATATATATATATATATATATATATATATATATATATATATATATATATATATATATCACAGATAAGTATTTAATAACCTAAGATAATTGCTAATATATTTAATCGTAAGTGAAGAAACCGAACCCTTTGAGTAGTCTGTGTAAAAACAGTGCTATTGCTATGCATATCATTTGCGTTTTGAAAGTAATTATTTAATAAACTAAGATAATAAGAAAAACAAGTTTTGAACAACAGAGGTCAAATGGCGACATTGATGATAGGAATACAGTTAAAAATATCTGGTTCTTATAAATCATTGCTAATATATTTAATCTTACGTGAAGAAACCGAACCCTTTGTGTAGTCTGTGTAAAAACAGTGTTATTGCTATGCATATCATTTGCGTATTGACAGCCAACATTCTTCTGGTAAGACCATCTGTATCCGAATACAAATAATGCCTAAAATAATGAATATCTTAATGAATAGTCACCATAACAAAGAATACAATCTTATCAGCTTTATTTTCAGCTTTTCTCCGGGGAAGGTCATATTTCAGTGTCCTGATTACCATCTTCCCCTAAATTTACCTCATCATTACGACACTATTGTCAATATTACTGTAGACAACCCATCCGATATATTAGCTGTTGATGCTATTACGATGTTAACAAAGCCATTAAAACCGCCCTTAACGCAAATAATAACACAAACATTCCGAAATGTCTTTTAAAACAGTCATTATTGCCCTAAGGTTGCTGACATCTATCACGACGTCAATCATTACAGTTACACCTATTATCTATCAGCTCCATTGATTCTGCCGCTGGAGAAAATAAACCCATTTTCCATGTAAGACATGGAGACAGTAAGCCCAAAATAACGAAATTAAATAATATGCTAACAGGTTCTCTGAGTATCTGGATTCATATTATCTCCAAAGCATAAATAAATAAAACCTCGCATGTATCTGTGGTGTAAGGGATATACCGGCTCGAAAGGAGAATCTGGGAGTCGGGTTCGAATTCCAGTCGAGTTCTAGGTCGAAGTGGACCTAGGAACAATAGCGGTTAAGAGATGGTTCCACGGTCCTCAAAAACTCCAATCTGCCGATCTAGTGGAATTAGTTTATCATACCCAGGATTGTAAAGCAACATCTAAGATTTTTTGGAGATAATGATTTTAATGATACAATTTCTACTAATTAACCCTTAGATGGGTGGGGCTGTGTGGCATGGAAGTTGAATTTATACCTTTCCCAATGGTCATTGCGCGTAAATGAATATGACGTATCTAACTAAACTTGGAACTCGGATCTCTGATTTCCAAATCAGAGCCATTATCCATTATACCATCCGCATATCGGATCTTACAACATTCTCCCATTCTATCTTCGAAGAATGAACTTGAATTTCTATAATTCTGTTTAATTCATAGACTTGTAGCTAATCTTTGAACAGATTCACATGAAAAATATTCTATTAGTAAAATGGCGGAATAAAAATGAGTTTACATTTCTTTATGTTTTACATGTTCTGGTATAAGAACATGGGAGTGCTTCTTTTAAAGATCAGATTGAACTCACAACAGCAGTAATGGTCCACGAGATGATCTTGCTAAGAATTTTTCTTTGGTAAGAACCGTTGTCAGGGTCCCAGCCATGATTAATCCCCAAACTGGAATCAAAACAGTATGAAAATAGATTTTTACAGTAAAAATAACAGTAATACATTTTTGAAAAACAAAATATTACCAGAAATACTTTTAAAAAATAAATATCAGCAATACATTTTTGAAAAAAAGGAATATTACCACTAATACATTTGACTATCGACAAAGACCCTATTTACAAAAATACGTCAATGAGAACTGATTTGCAAACTGATTTCTTACAAAGAATATATTTCCTATTCATACGAACATATCCTAAAATCATGTCGGCATTAAATAACCCATTGAGCAAAACAAAATAAACCAAACCAAAGGTCGAAATTAAAACCCGTTAAAATGTCTGTCTGTATCTCTGAGATGAGGTATTGTGATTACTTGCATTATTTACATTATTCGGACTGTTATCCTCATCTTCATTGCCATATTCATAACGTTTCAGACGTTGCACGTTCCGGCATTCTTCAGGTGATTGGAATTTCGAACCGAACCTATTATTTCGTCCACCGGGTTAAAGTGCTCTAGTTCCACGTGCCATGCCTCTTCCGGATGTCTCAGTTATTTCCCTTTAATTCAACTCTCCATGTTTTTGGTTCACCACCGCTGTAGCCTGGTATTGAACTCACGACACTTTAGGTCTAGTCACTAGATCTAACCGACGCCTTTATCCACTGGGCCATGTGTCATTGAGTTCTAGTGACTCGCCCCAAAGAGTTGTAAGTTCAATACTAGGCCACAACAGTGGCGAACCAAAAAGTTGAGTTAAATGGAAATAACTGAGACATCCGGAAGAGGCATGGCACGTGGAACGAGAACATTCTACCTCGGTGGACGAAATAAAGGGTTCGAAGCGTACAACGGCCGAAACGTTGTGAATGTGGCAATGAAGATGAGGATAACAGTCCGAATAATGTAAATAATGTTAGTAACCGTTAAAATGTTCGACACTTTCTAATCCTGTAAAGTTTCAAAGTGGGACGTGCCTAAAATTTAACAATCTCAAGGTTAGTGTCATTCGATAAATTGTAAAACTACTTGTTAAAAGGGCGTGGCTATTTACTTTGCATGTACTTTGGTTTGAATTCAGAGTTATCCGTCTCCAACTGCTTGCCTACCACGTTTAACAAGCCCACTGCTTGCCTATCACGCTTAACAAGCCCAGTATGTCCTGCTAACCCATAGCTGGAGAGAGAAGAGATGGATTCATGCTTTTTCCAATGGCATTTCAGTGTAAGTTAATATAACTGTTTCCAACCAGAATTCAAACTCGGCTAGCAGAATTCACTTCTAACCCGTTAGCCATAACAAAGGGGATTTGGTCATTATTGTTTGTGTTGAATTAGTCGAATACAGCTAGGAAAACAACGCAACGATTCTCACCAACAGAATGAAATATTACAGAGACAGGTAGGATCAGGTGATTCAATATAGCATTGAGAACTGGTGTTATATAGCGTAGCTCAGATGTGGTACAAAGCCGAATGTATGGAACACCTAGTGAAGATTATACTCATTACTCAGTCGTAATTGATCTAGAAGGATAAGTTTAAAACCATTACCCCGTTTCGAAGTACCCAAATTAATGAATTACTAAGTGTAGCTGAGATGTGGCACAAAGATGCAAGTATGGTGCACCCAGTGAGGATCGAAATCACGACTCAGTTGTAATCTAACGACACAAGACTACTTCTGTCAAGGCGGGTGTTATATAATGACTCACTAAGTGTAGCAAAGAGGTGGCACAAGGCCGAAATTATGGATGTCCAAGTGAGTTTTGGTTTGGTTTGCTTTTTTTTTTACGGCATATCAACGTCACTGGGTTGTTCAATGCCGATAAGATTTTTATTGCTGGCAATATTTTTTCCAAATAAGTATTGATGGTAGTAATATATTGCTGATAAAAAAATTTTTCTTCAAAAATTCATTGCTAGTAATCCATTTTTTTACAAAAATGTATTCCTGGTAATAAAACCTATTTTTACACGTTTTGACACCAGTTTAGGGATTAACTATTTGCCCATAGCTAGGACCCTAACAGATGCTACAACCCCTGATCAGGATGGAGCTGGGAACACCAGCAATTAATAGGTAGTTCCACGCTCACAACGTCCTGATCAAAGTCCTTGCTGTTGGACATAGTTTATCGTCTTATCCACGATGCGGATGTAGTTTATCGTCATACCCAGGACGCCTCATTTGGAGGGGTTCTTACCGCTATGCAGAGGTGCAGTTGGCATATTCTGAAGCCCTAGCTGACAGGGCGGGTCCTAGTAAGGATTGGGCTAACTCGCAATTCAGCTAGGGAGACATGCTTGCTAATCATTACACAAAAGTTCCCCATGCGGGTGTTATATAGTAATACACTAAGCGTAGCTTAGATGTGGCACAAGGCCGAAAGTAAAGAGCGCTTAGTGAGTATTGAATTCACTACTCAGTCTTAATTGATCTAGCGAGGTAAGCTTGCTAAACCTGATACCACGTCAAGGTGCCCCAGGAGGGTGTCATATACGAGTTTTCATTTTCCTAGATGGATATTTCAACGAAGTCTTTGTCCATCACTTCTAGTGAGCTTACCGCGTATCTGGACACGAACTATGTATTTCTACGTCTCCACCTATAACGTGAATAGGCATAGCTGCATATACACTTTTATTAATGCATTAGAGAAACGTGTCTCTGGGCCCAGTAGATATTTCGTTGTCATTCGTAGTTCGTTGTCATTCCTGAAGCGGAAAGAGAAAGAACTCAAATAATGATAAGAGAAAAGCAATAACCTTTTGCCAAAAACGCTAATCTTCGACGGAACTCTTCAACACAAGCATTCATGTTTGCACTAGTTCAGAGATTGTCTGCATGTTGGATTCGTTGTTTTTTACATCTTTTATTTTATTACATTTTTTTCTCCTATTTTTTCTTCCTCATTGCCAAGTTGTTAGCACTAATGTGCCGACATTCTTTGCCCCTGTGCAATATTGTGTGACCCTTACCCTTTTTTCGTAGTCAAGCTACAATTAGTCTTTCTTTCTTTCATCTTGTTTGCCGGATTTTTAATTCTTCTGCTTTTTATGCACATTCTTCAAATACATTTTTATCATCACAAATAACAGCCACATCTTTGTTATCCTTAAAATCATGATAATGACAATTTCTTCTTCTTCTTCTTCTTCTTCTTCTTCTTCTTCTTCTTCTTCTTCATGTAATCTTGTTTCATTTCTTCTTTTTCCTCCGCCTCCTCTGTCGACTTCTTTCTCTTTTAGCTGTTTTTTTCTTATTTCGTCTTCTGGTTCTAATCCTCTGCAACTTCATCTTTCTCCTCTGCCTTCTTCTTCTTTCTCTTCCGCCTTCTTCCGCCTAGACCTTAATCTTTCTCTTCCGCTTACTTCTTCTTCCTCATCTTCCTCCTCCACCACCTTCTTTCCCTACCGCTTTCCTCTTCTTCCTCCTCCGCCTTCTTCTTCTTCTTCCTCTTTCACTTTCTTCTTCTAATCATTTTCTTCTTCTTCCTCCTCCGCCTGCATTTTCTTCTTCTTCCTCTTCCGCTTTCTTCTTTTTCTTTTTTCTCTTCCGGCTTCTTCTTCCTCCTCCTTTCTTCTTTTTTCTCTTCTGGCTTCTTCTTCTTCTTCCTCTTCCGCTTTCTTCTTCTTTTTCTTTTTTCTCTTCCGGCTTCTTCTTCATCCTCCTTTCTTCTTTTTTCTCTTCCGGCTTCTTCTTCTTCTTCTTCCTCTTCCGCTTTCTTCTTCTTTTTCTTTTTTCTCTTCCGGCTTCTTCTTCTTCCTCCTTTCTTCTTTTTTCTCTTCCGGCTTCTTCTTCTTCTTCTTCTTCTTTTTTCTCTTCCGGCTTCTTCTTCCTCCTCCTTTCTTCTTTTTTCTCTTCCGTCTTCTTCTTCTTCTTCTTCCGCTTTCTTCTTCTTTTTCTTTTTTCTCTTCCGGCTTCTTCTTCCTCCTCCTTTCTTCTTTTTTCTCTTCCGTCTTCTTCCTCTTCTTCTTCTTCTTCTTCCTCTTCCGCTTTCTTCTTCTTTTTCTTTTTTCTCTTCCGGCTTCTTCTTCCTCCTCCTTTCTTCTTTTTTCTCTTCCGGCTTCTTCTTCTTCTTCTTCTTCTTCTTCTTCTTCTTCTTCTTCTTCCGCTTTCTTCTTCTTTTTCCTTTTTTTCTTCCGGCTTCTTCTTCCTCCTCCTTTCTTCTTTTTTTTTTCTCTTCCGTCTTCTTCTTCTTCTTCTTCTTCTTCCGCTTTCTTCTTCTTTTTTTTTCTTCCGGCTTCTTCTTCCTCCTCCTTTCTTTTTTTTTTCTTCCAGCTTCTTCTTCTTCTTCCGTTTTCTTCTTCTTTTTCTTTTTTTTCTTCCGGCTTCTTCTTCTTCTTCTTCTTCTTCCGCTTTCTTCTTCTTTTTCTTTTTTCTCTTCCGGCTTCTTCTTCCTCCTCCTTTCTTCTTTTTTCTCTTCCTGCTTCTTCTTCTTTTTCTTCTTCCTCTTCCGCTTTCTTCTTCTAATCATTTTCTTCTTCTTTCTCTTCCGGCTTCACCTTCTTCTTCTTCTTCCGCTTTCTTCTTCTAATCATTTTCTTCTTCTTTCTCTTCCGGCTTCACCTTCTTCTTCCTCTTCCGCTTTCTTCTTCTAATCATTTTCTTCTTCTTTCTCTTCCGGCTTCTTCTTCTTCTTCTTCTTTATCACATCAACTGTTATTAATTCTCCTGATTTGCATTCGTGTTTATATTCTTTCTTTCTATATTTAATCATTTTCTTCTCTCTTCTCACCTTCGCTATTTACAGCGTACGATATGTTTTGTGAACAGCATTAAAACCATAATATTTTTGCCATCTTAAAAGGACGTTATTGTCTTCTTTTTCTTTTCGACTTTTTTTCTACATTATCGCCTTTTATATCGCCATCCCCATTCTCCGTTACATCATTCTATATATTTCGACCTTTTGCCTAATCACCTCCTAACATTTTGTTTATATTTTCGCCGTCGTCGTCATCATCATCATCATCATCAACATCATCGTCGTCGTCGTCGTCGTCGTCGTCATTATGATCGTTACGATTTTCCTCTACAATCATCATCATCGTCATCATTGTCGATGTCGGCCAGACAATCATCCTGCTCCTCTTCCTTATCATCAACATGATCGTCGTCATGATTCGCCTCTTCCATTATCTTCATTATCATCATCGTCGTCGTCATCATGATAATCCTCCTGCTCATCATCGCCCTGATCCTCCCTCTTCCTCATTAATCATGATGACGATGATGATGATCATCATCATCATCATGATTATCAGCCTCCTCTACATCAGTGCCATCATCAAATACCTTTTCTCCTATTACTAACACTGCTGCTTCTTTCGTTCTCTTCATAAACTTATTTTATAGTTTTCTAATTCTCTGCTGTCATCTTATTTTTTTTAGTTTATATTTACACAATTTCTTCGTCGTATGAAACTTATGTATAACACAGAAGAGGCGGAGACATGTTGAATTATACCTTCGAAAAAGCAAAAAAATCTTGTCAAATCATGCGATCCACGCTTATCAAAGAGGATCTTTGATAAATATCAAACATTAAAACAAAGCAATTTTCAGCATGTCTCCGTTTCCTTTCTATTCGTTTTTCTTGAGACCAACCATTAAAAATATTACACTCCGTTGCTAGAGCCAGCGCCACTAATAAAAGGCTTGACCATTATTACTTAGTGACTTTGCATCTTATAAATCTCGGCTTAAAATAACCCCGACAGGGTTTTCTTCTCTTATGTGTCGTTTTCTTTCAGAACGGAGACGATCATAGCCCTCCACATCTTCTTGTCCCTTGTAGCTCTTAATAAGATTTGTCTTTTTATTATTTTTCCCAGCCCCCTGTTCTGTCATCCATTTGCTCAAGCCCATTAAGTATGTCAGGCGTTGATTTACCCTGACCCTCTTTCACTTTATCCGTCTTCTGAGTATCAGATGTTCTAAGCCTTCTTTCCTCATTATGTCCCCCAGAAATTTCAACTGCCTTTTCTTGGTGTTAAGTATAAGTTTCCCCTTTGTTTCCATTCTCTCCAAAACCTCGACATTGTTCACATGTTCAGTTTATGGTATCCTCAGCATCCTTCTGTAGAATTACGATTCGGTTGCTTCGAGTCTCTTCTTCAACTTTGAGGAGATTTTCCAGCATTCGTTGTCATACAAGATGACATATACCATGTAACAGTTCAATACTCTTTTCTATATTTCTTTTGCATCAGTCTCTTCATCTTTGAGGAGATTTTCCAGCCATACAAGAGGACAGATATCACGTATAGTTAAGTGGTGTATTTTTCTTTCTAATGACATTTTTACGTCTCTTAATACTTTGCTTAACTTTTGGAATTCGTCTTTGGATATCAGTGTTGCACTATCCTTCCTCTGTTGATCTGTTCTAAATGAAACCGTGCAACTAAAATTACTATTCTACTATTAACAGTTTGTGTAGGAAGGATCTTTCTAGCAATGTTGCTACTCCTCTTCCCCTCACCACCCTCATCATTTACATAATCGACATCAAGGCCATCAGAACGCATAGTCATATCTTAATTCAACACCATCGTAGCACCAACCGAATCGACCCTCCTCCCAATCATCATCATTTCCATGCTAAATATTATATTCACCATCATTAAAGTGGCTTCTCCAATCAAATAATGTCTCTTCAATATCGTCTCCAAACCAAGGTATTTTGCGCAGCAATTAGCCTCGATTTGAAATATTTTCGTTACTTTTTTCCGGTCAACGGATGAAGGCTGTCTTGTTGTTCCTGGCGCTCAAAATGTCTCGCCATTCCCTTTGTTCCTTGCAATGCCACATTCCCCATCTTTACTGCTTCTCTGTTGTTCATTGCAGTTAAGACTTTTCTTGGTCATTTCACTTTTCGTTCTTCTCATTCAATTTGTTCGCTTTTCTTGACTACTTCGTTTTTCTTTTGCCTACCTTTTTCTCGATAATAAATCTTTCTTTCATCGCTATATTTATTATCTCGCATTTAAGGATTTCTGGAATATAAAATTTCCAGAAATTCTTCATCTTGCTTTCATCGCTATATTTATTATCTCGCATTTAAGGATTTCTGGAATATAAAATTTCCAGAAATTCTTCATCTTTCTTTCAACGCTATATTTATTATCTCGCATTGAAGGATTTCTGGAATATAAAATTTCCAGAAATTCTTCATCTTTCTTTCAACGCTATATTTATTATCTCGCATTTAAGGATTCTGGAATATAAAATTTCCAGAAATTCTTCATCTTTCTTTCAACGCTATATTTATTATCTCGCATTGAAGGATTTCTGGAATATAAAATTTCCAGAAATTCTTCATCTTTCTTTCAACGCTATATTTATTATCTCGCATTTAAGGATTTCTGGAATATAAAATTTCCAGAAATTCTTTAGCGCTTCGCTTTCCCTATCTAAGACAAACCGCAAAGTATTTCATAAGCACGTGTTTCAAATAATAGATGGCCAATATATATGCTAATATCGTAAAGTGTTAACAAAAGGTACTTTCTTTTTGCAGGGCAGTCTGTTTTTTGACTAAGGTAAGTGCTTTTTTCCACAGGTGCTTGTGCTCAGTAACAGACCCCGTTAAAAAATTCAAAAGCTGATTTTCTAGGAAGTAGGCAATCATTATTAGATCTCCGCGTTTTTTTTTATTATTTTCTTTCTTAATTCACACAGATCCTGTAATTTATTTTATTAAATTTCTCTCTCTTTTTTTCTTTCTTTCTTAGAACCTGTTTCTTTCTTTCTTTCTTTCTTTCTTTCTTTCTTTCTTTCTTTCTTTCTTTCTTAAAACCAGTTTCCTTTTTCTTTAACCTTTCTTAGAAACATTTTTATTTTCTTTAACCTTTCTTTGTTTCTTTGTTTGTTTCTTTCTTAAAACCAGTTTCTTTTTTCTTTAACCTTTCTTTCTTTTTTTAAACCAGTTTTTCTTTCTTTCTTTCTTTCTTTCTTTCTTTCTTTCGTTCGTTCAGCCTATAACATAACCCCAGTACGAATAACTAGAAAAGCATCTCTGTAGGACGAATTATAAAATTACCCCAGTACGACTAACAGCAAAATTACCTCAGTACGAATAACTACAAAATTATCTTAGCACGAATAACCCCAAAATTACCTCAGTACAGCTAATTACGAATTTAGCTCAATACTAATAATTACAAAATTACCTCAGTATGACTAACTATCATGTTATATCAGTACGACAAACTACAAATTTATCTCAGCATGAATAATCAAAAAATTACCTCAGTACGCCTCGCTACAAATTTACCTCAATACGACTAGCTACAAAATTACCTCAATACGACTAGCTACAAAATTACCTCAATACGACTAGCTACAAAATTATCTCAATACGACGAGCTACAAAATTCCCTACAAATTACTACAAAAGCTCAATGTCGAACAAATATCTGTATTCACTTCTGTGTATCTGTTGTTCGATACAATTATTAGCGCCAAAGTTTCAGCCATTCATTACACAAAGCAAATTATCCACAATATCCAGAAACCAACAAGCGCTTTAACTAAGTAAAGAAAAAAAAGACCCAAAATGGCAAATAAAAGCAATTCCGTGGCATCTTCAACAACGGTTGCTCTAATACGAACTCCCTATAAAATACAAGATGAAGAAGACAAGGAAGAGAGAAAAAAAAAAAAAGGAAAAAAAAAAGAAGAAGCGAAATTAAAAAACAAGAAAAAAAAGAAAAAAAAGGAAAGAAATCAAGGATGCGAATGAACAAGTCTTAAATATAACCCCAGACATATTCACCATGATCAACGGGTGACTGGCCTGGTGCAATATACCGACAGACGATGGCCGCGTTAACAGTCGTGTGATGAGTAAATATTTACACGGCCTCAGTGATCAAACGGTAAATATTAGACGTAATCGAACATTTAATTAGCAAATAAAGTCAGTTTATTCAAGTGTAGAATTTATCCTCGTCTCGTTGATGTGGAATAATTTTTAAATATAATTTTGAGTTGATTTCTTTTTGTTGTTGTTATATTTGCTTTATTTTTGTATCCCTACTTTTTATATTATGATACGAAAATGCGTAGAATGAAACAAGTGGCGTTGGAGAAGCGTTGAAATGAAAAATGGCCTCATAAAAAAAGAAGGCAAAAAAGGCGGGAAGATTGTAATTAAATGTGTTCGGGGTTTGGTGAATTTTAGCAGATGATGTTTAAATTATAATCGCCGATTTTCCTTTAATATTTTATAATTTAATAACTGATTTTTCAGAAGATAATAAAATCTGCCTTTAGGCCGTTAAAACCTGCGAGGTTTGTTTAAATATGTAAATAAACGTATGTAGGGACAGTAACAGTCTTAAGGCAAAATCTCTACGATTGTTTATTAACTGCATATATGTATGTATCCATAGTATATTAAGTTTTATGTGTATATGCTCACGCGCACGTATAGAGATCATAATGGCTGGGTACTGTTTTTTTCCGAGTCTAACCTGTCTAATAGGTCGGCTAGGGAATCCATGTTGTAGACGCCTATTCATGTATATTTGT